AATTGAATTGGCTGATGGATTGAATTGTAAAATGTTGGATGTTGGCTGCTTAATTGTTATATTTTTGGATAATTGATTAATTCGATTGAGTAGCCAAGTGAGGGGGAGTTTTTCAAATTTTTGCTCTATGATCTACTAAGTAAGGGGGAGTTGTTGTCAATTAAGAAAGGGGGAGTTATTGCAATCATCAAATCTCATTTCAAACCATTGTTTTGTCATCATCAAAAAGGGGGAGAATGTTATTCTTGATTTTGATGATCACAAAGTACTTTGAAATGTTTATCTAACTCTCTTCAAATATAAGTGTTTTTTCCTATCAAAGAATCAGGTACGAATATGTCAAGAAATGAAAATCAACCAAAACAAAAAGCAAAAACAGGACACTCATGTCGGACATCCGAAAGGATAAAGAACATCAAGAAGGAAGCTCTGTCGGACGCTCATAAGGAAGCGTTGGACGTCCGGAAGGATCGGACGCACGCCTCGGACGCACATCAACCGCGTCGGACGTCCGAAAAATTCCAAGATGACTTGCCAACTCTCTGTCAGCGATCGGACGCTGATGCTGTTGGACGATAAAAACGCATCGGACGTCCGAACTACAACTTGGCTGTTTTCGGACGATGATTTGGTCGTCGGACGTCCGACAACCCCAACGGCTAGTTGATTCTTCATCTGCCTTCTATCCGTTGGAAGCATTGATGAAACCCATTTTTGGTCCCATTTAAAAACAAACTGTTCTGAACCAAAAAAAAACTTTTGCACACTTTGTTTACAAGATCTCAAGAGATATTTTAGCTAGAAAATAGTCTCCAAAGCTAGATTTGTTCTCCAAATGGTATGAATTTCTTGTGAGCATTTCTCTTGTGGTTGAAAGTTTCATTAGTGTAGCTTTGTTGAGGGTTATCTGAGTGATTGTAAAACTTCTTAACTTGACTAAGTGAGGCTTAGGGCAAGGAGGAAGTGCTCCCTCCATTGTACATCTAGTTGATCATCTTTCATCAAAGAGAAGTTGCTCAACCTAGTGATTGGTCTTCAAGTTTGAGGAAAGTTTGGTAGACAATCGGTTTGATATTCTATCTCAATTTTTTTTGTTTAATAAAATTCTCATTGCTTATCTATATTTGCTTTTTTACTCAACATTGCTCTCTTCTTCTAATCTACTTGGTTGATCATTACTAGAAAAGAAGGTAAATTTTTATTAAAGAAAAAGTGCATAAATTTAATTAAGATTTTAATCTACCTAATTCACCCCACTCTTAGGTTGTCTTTGGGCCTTACAGATCCTCTATGTTTCGCGGATATGGATGAACGGAAGTCATCCTCGGTTAATTGATTCAGATGCATGCAAAACTTTTCGCATTAATGAAAAATTTCCTTTCAGAGTTAATGTAAGGAATGGAATAAAAGTCAGGCTCTCTTTTTTTCCAATCAAACATTCTATCTCTAGTTATCCCTTTCGAGCTTTCAGAATAAATTATTTCGTTTGGCAACCCCTGAGAATCGCAAACCCCACACTGGGGCAAGTTTGAGTTGAAAAAGAAGCAAAGTCTTAAAAGGTGAAAAGTGATAAGGCAACAACATCAAAAGACAAAAGAAGAAAAGAGAACCTCGGTTAAACTGGGGCAAATTTTAAAAATTTCAAAGGAATGGCAAAAGGCCAAGAAAAGACAAAGAGAGAAAAGAGAACTTCAGTTGAACATGAACTGGGGCAAATATTGAAAAGTTCAAAAGAATGGCAGAAGGCCGACAAAAGAGAACAAAATGAAAGAGAAAAGAGCCTCAATTGAGAATAAATTGGGGCGAGTTATGATTTAACCCTAAAGAAAGGTTGATATAATAATGCGATCTCATATCATTTGAACCACTTTTAAGAAATTTGCTTTCAAACCTTAACTTTTCTAAACATCCCACCTGACCCCATTACAAAAGCCAAAAGTCCTGACTTCTGTTCTTTGCAATGGCTCTGTCAAGAAAATTTCTGATGCCGAAAAATTTTAGCTGTATTTCTGAATTGCTTGGGTATTTGGGTTGACGCTACTCACCATGAGAAAACCCACTAGATCGAGGAAAAGAAAAGGAAAAGCAAAAATAAATGCAAAGGAAATGAAAGGATTTGATGGTGAAATCCCCGTTAAGTGATGATGAAAGTCACCAAATTTACGATCTTTGAGTTCAAAATAGGGGCAATTTCGGAAAAATTCGATCTTCGGTTCAACGTCCTTGAAAGTCTTATTCTTCAACTATCTTCTTCAAGCCGCATTACAAACCCATAAAGTCCATCGTTGACTTATCCTTTATGACAACTCGAAGTGAGAATTATACTTTTGAGGAATCCATCAATCATCTGTGATCTTTAGGCTATAACCTGTTTTCACATGTTTTAACTATCGTTTCTACCCATATGTTGCAAGCTTACAGCTTATATGTTGACTAGATTTTCTTAAAAAATGAGGGTGATAAACTATTTGCTTTCACTAAGATGTGATATTGAAGGGATTACATACAATTTGGGCACAAGAATAAGACAAACCTTGACCTTCCATTTCCAAATCAGAAATAACACCCCACTTGATTGGTCCTGAAAGATGAACCAACAAGAAGTGGTGACCCGCTACTCTAAGCACAGATGCTAAAAGTAAGGAAGAAATCTTCTGTAATTTGGTGTTATTCTGAGAGATTCATCATGAAATTTCTGCATAAGTTCAAACTCAACATTCAAATTTCTTCACATTGTACATATGATTACTTTCTAAGTTTTAGAAAGTATGATTTCTCTTTATTCAAATAAATGGGGAATCATCTGAACAAATTTTTGCAATCAAAGGAGTCCACACCGGGGCAAAAAATTTTTATTTTATTTGTGAGATTTCATGAAATAAGCCCACACAGGGGCAAAAAAAAAATTTATAGTCCATTTGAGGATTTCGTCAAAAAGTCAAGCAAGACTTTCAAATCAATCACACTGCTCTTTTCATGAGTAGTAGTTGCAATATTTTAAAATAAAGTGCATGTGGTACTTTGGCAAGCCCCCTGTGCAGGTACTCATGGCTGAAATCGACGAAGAAGCGAATCAACCATGCCGTAATGCAAATCAATTGACCGGTTGCATAATAATTGGTGGAAGTTTGGGTAAATTATTTTTGAAAAGATTCTCAAAAATCAAACTTGAATTTAATTTCTTGTTCCTTGACAAATTTCAATTTCTTGTTGATGAAATTTTAGCGCCCACCGCGCACCCTTCCATTTTCCATTCTTGACAACCACATTTAATTCACTGATTTCTCCACCGTTAGCATCGAGTCTATCTCACTAACGTGTGTGTTTCTGTTCTTCTACCACTGTTAGCATTGAATGTATCTCACTGACGTATGTGTTTTAATTCTCACGGTAGGTTCGGGTGTAATCACACTGACCAATTTGTCAAAGGCAGGCTCGGGTTTAATCCCACTGACCAATTCATCATACTGGGGCAAATTTTTGGATAATTTTTCGAGCAAGTCTTATACAGTTTCTTCATACATACCAGCATTTCTTTTATTCTGCCACTAGCCGTTGGGTCAGTCCCACTAGTGCGCATTTCTTTTATTCTGTCACTAGCCATTGGGTCAGTCCCACTCATTTTATTTTACACCACCACTAGCCGTGGGTCAGTCCCACTAGTGAGCCTTTCATTTCATTGCCACTAAACATGGGTCAGTCCCACTAGTGTGCATTTTGTTTTTCATCACCACTGAATATGGGTCAGTCCCACCAATGAGCATTTTATTTTCACTGCCACAGAACATGGGTCAGTCCCACCAGTGAGCATTTTATTTTCATTGCACCTAAACATTGGTCAGTCCCACAAGCGTGCGTTTCATTTTCATTGCCGCTAAACATGGGTCAGTCCCACTAGCGTGCATTTCATCTTTATTGCCACTAAACATGGGTCAGTCCCACTAGTGTGCATTCCATTTTTAAGTTTGTTCGGGTCAGTCCCATGATTTTTAAATTTTATTCGGGTCAGTCCTATGATTTTAAGTTTTATTCAGGTCAGTCCCATGATTTTAAATTTTGTTCGGATCAGTCCCATTATTTTAAGTTTTATTCGGGTCAGTCCCATGATTTTCAAATTTTATTCGGGTCAGTCCCATGATTTTAGGTTTTATTCGAATCAGTCCCATGATTTTAAATTTTATTCGGGCCAGTCCCATGATTTTAAGTTTTATGCGGGTCAGTCCCATGATTTTAGGTTTTATTCGGGCCAGTCCCATGATTTTAAGTTTTATTCTGGTCAGTCCCATGATTTTAAGTTTTATGCGGGTTAGTCCCATGATTTTAGATTTTATTCGGGTCAGTCCCATGATTTTAAATTTTATTCGGGTCAGTCCCATGATGTTTAGTTTAGTTTGGGTCAGTCCTATGATTTTAAATTTTATTCAGGTCAGTCCCATAATTTTAAGTTTATTCGGGTCAGTCCCATGATTTTAAGTTTTGTTTGGGATACGAACTGGGATATAACAACTTCCCCTAACGAAGTGTATGAGTATATAGGAAGAAACGCAATCTACACCATCAGTGCTAATCCAACGCAACTCCCCCTGAAACTGACTCCCCCTAACTAGTTACTCTACACCATCAGTGCTAATCCAATTCTCCCCCTTTTTGTCATCACAAAATTGAGTATCAGTTTGGTACTAGCAGTATCAGATAACATCAGTACGATCCATCAGAAACATTAACAATAACACATTCAGCACAATTTGGAATCAACAGAAACATTCATAACAAACACATTCATTCAGCAGATTCCATAACACACAACCATTCATAACAAACACTTAGTTATAACATCCATAAACAGTAGACAATATCCAGTTGTACAGACCAGGTGTACAACACCTAGTACAAAAGTGCAATGCAAAAGATGAACTATAGACCTAGATTAAGGTGCAGTGACCTAGTAGTGCCTAGATGGTGATTTTAGATGATCCAGGCCTCCTCCTAGCCAGACGAACCTGTTCAGGGTCCTCTTCTTCCTCAGTTTCTTCATCATCATCTTCATATGCTTCCTCAGTTGCTGGAGCCTTGCCTTTATCCTTGGGCTGAGAACTGGAAGCTGGTGTGGTCTCAGTACCAGTGGTTGGCCCTGTGGACTCAGGTCTTGGCTCTTTCCCATGAACATTTGCATTGTTTTCAGGTATTGGAGGGACAAGAAGATTTCTTTTTTCAATGAAAGAGGATTGTTGGGCAGGGGTCATGGTCATCATGAGACCATCTTCAAAGAGTAAGACATGCTGTTTGAGGTCTTCAAGCAAGGAGATGACTTCAGAATTGGATGCGAAGGACTTGCTGGCAGACTTTCTAGGATGAATGGTGAAGGGAGAGACATAGTCTGACTGATCACGAGGAGTCCTAGGAGTGACAGGGGTTTGATGAAAGTTTTTCCTTCTAGACTCAACCACAGTCTCCTTATAGCACCAATGGCCATCAAAAAATTTTAAGTTCTTTCGTTCAAAGTAAGCTTTTGAGAAAACTGATGAAGCACTGTCTTTGGGAGATTTTCCAGAAAAAGGTATTTCAAAATGGGCAAAAATAGGGGTCAGAAATCTGCCATAAGAGAGCTTCCTACGACTGTCAGTGCTAATTTTGAGCAAAAATTTGCACATTACAAATCCAAAGTCAATGCGGATTTTTTCAACAAAGTAGTAGAAAAGATAGAGTTCCATTTTGTTTGCATCTGTTCTGTGGCCATCAGTTGGCACCAACAGATTCGAAATGATGGTGAAGATGATCAGATTCTGAGGACTGAGATCATCCAATCTTGCCTCAGCAGGAGTATTGAAGTGGGTTTGAAAATAGGTCATGAGTTTAGCATTGTAAAAATGATGGTAGGCAGAAGGAAATTCCTCATACGAAAAGAAATTTACAATTTTTCCTTTGAAACCAGATTCAATACTAGTTTTCAGAATGGAATTCACAATGTCAGGAGTTAACGTGATGTCTACAGAGTTGACCCTAGAGATGAGTTCAGTGTGTGATTTACCCTTCCTAAGGTTAGCTGTAGACACCAAAATTTTTATTTTTGTTTTTGTTTTTATTTTTTTTGTTCTAGTTTATTTTAATTATTAGCTATTTTTACTTATCAATCTCAGCATTTATTTCAGATATTTCTTTAGCGTTTTGGATACCAAATTTCTCTTAATTTTTGCTTTATTCGATATATCATCATTTTTAATTTTTTAGCATTATAAAAAAAAAAGAGCAAAGCCACGCGCACGTCACGCGAACCAAGCATTCCAAACTGCATTTCAGAAATATGATACGCCATCCAGCTCCCATGGGATTTCCTCCATTTCTTCCTATTGTTTTCTTCACCGTTTGATCATTTCCTTCATCCCACCTGGCTTTCATCCGCAATCAAGGATGATAAAAATTTCAATCGGATGGCCACGGCAAATACAGTGAAATGAGGTTTATGAGGGCCCTTGATATCAGGTTTTTGAGGGTCGGCCATCTGATATAAAAGAAAAGGGATGCGGCTAGGTTTTGGGGGGAGCTGAGAGGGGGTTGACGGCTGGACAAAAAGAAAAGAATGGGGCTAAAAAAAAAAGGACGGCCAGGGGGTTTCCTTTTGGGAGAGGAAAGCAGACGGCTAGGGTATTAGGAGAGAGCTATGAGAGAGGTTTTATGACGGCTGGAGTTTGAAGGGATGGTCGGGACAGCTTTGAGAGAAACCGAGAGAGGGCTAGAGGAAAAGGAAGTTAGCAAAAGAGATATAGCTGGAGGAAACAAACGAAAGGAAAGAGCTTCAAGAGGAGGAGATTTTTTTTTAACGGCTAGAGAGGAGGTGAGGTCTGATGACAGTGGCGGCCAGAATAAAGGCAGTAGAGGAGCCCTTAGACGATCTTCATCAGAAATCCGCAACTTTGAAATCTGCATCCGGACGCAATCTTGTCAACCAACTCCCTATCCAGTAGACTTCGCAAGACGTCAAAGGTAATCTCTTTTGCCTTCTACTTCTCATACAAGCCTAGATCTTCTCTGAATATGCCAAAGATCTTGCTACTGTTTGTTATGAACGTACTTTGCTGTTTTGATTCTTATGGCAGCCGAATCGGTTGAGTTTTGTTGAAAATCTATTGTTTAATCTTGTCCCGAGGAAATAAAATCTGATGGTTAATGTTTTGGTGAAATTGTTGCTCCAAGTTGTTTGTTTGATCTGATATGCCGCAGATTTGAAAAACCAGAAAATTGTAAGGCTTCATGAACAAATCTGGTTTTTGCTAGCTTTTCCTCCCACTTAGATTTTCCTCTTGTTTGCACGCTTAATATTGAACCTTGATGAGGTAATTGGGGGTCTTTCTATAGTTTTTTCCTGACGAATCTATGAGGTTTGCTTGAGTCATAGTTTGGTACATGTGTGCATGAAAGTCTGTTACAACAGGTTTGAAGTTCTGACTTTGTTACGGCAATTTTGGAACAAAAAGTCAATCTTTTGGGCTGCTGAGGTTTTTCCAGAATAGCTTGAATTGTCTCTTGGGTTTTGTTTGTGATTTGATGGTATCCCATGTATGTGCTTGCTGCCATTCCATGTAGCAAGGTGCGGAATACCATTGGACTGCAACAAGTAGCTAAAAACTATGCAGCCGTGACTTTTCTTTTGCTTGTTCAAGTTTTGCTTTGTTGGTGTTCGGTTGCTATGATAGTGGGCTGAGGGCATGTACCTCTGCTGCATTTTTTTATTTGGGTGCCGCATTTGTGAATCTAATGAAGCGAGGTAGAGACAAGTGCATATTTTAGGTGCTGTGGTTGGCCAGTTGTTGCTGTTTTTTTCGTTTTTTGTTGAATGTTCAGTGCACCTTTGAGTTCTTGTGTGTTGAATACTATAATGAAAAGGAAAACTTGTTGTGTTAGAAGCTGACCATCAGTGAATAAGCCTGCTGTGTTTAGAAGTTTAGACATTAGAAAAATGCAAATGCAGGCATGCAGTTTCCTTTTGCTTGCAAAGCGGAGAAGAAAAATGAATAAAGGGGGGAAGTTTTGAGCTATGCATCTTGTGTTTTCTGGTTTTGTTTGCTTTGGTTAAGAGCAATGCATGTTAAATTGGACTAGATTTGGGTTCTGTCAATTGCACACTTTTGCTATTTTTCGTTGCTTTCATTTCATTTCCTCCTGTTTGTGGTTTTGTCCAAAAAGCTGCATTTCATCCTCATGATTTGCTGCTTTCCTTTTTGCCGCAGCAACCCACCAAAAAACTGGTTTTAGTCATCTAGTTTACTAATTAAGCTTTGTGCCTAAATGATCAATGATGGAGTTACACTCTTTAATCCGAAACTATGAATGTTTTGGTGTGTATGCCGCGTGGGTTGAAGCTGCCAGTTTTGTAGCAAGGAAAAACATTTGCAGAAAGCTTCGAATGAACGTTGCATAAGAAAGTTTCTACGTAACATGCATGCAAAAGGATTCAGAAATTGCATTTCAACCCCTTGTTTTTTGGTTAATGCTACAAAGGCCCAATAATGTTCTAATTTCTTGCAATAAAGTCCTAGAGTAATTGCAATTTGAACCATTACTTGGCTCTTTCTTTGCTTTTGGACCCTTGGTGTTCCCAAAATGCTTCAATTGGACTTGAATGATTGGTTAATATTTGTAATTGGGTCCTTGGTATTTTTTCTATTTTAGAAATTTGATCAATAATTTTACTTTCCTGGAAATTATGCATTATTTGATTTCATTTAAATTGCAATTGGGAGGGATTTGATAATTTTGTTTATACTTTACTATTTAATTGGTGCCTTGACCCTTTTATTATTTTGAAACTATTTTTCCTTCACTTGATTACCATTGCAAGGGAGGTACACTCTATCCCTTATTTTCACTTTATTTGACCCTATGTGTCTATGTGATTTATGTGCTAAATTGCATGCCTTTTGAATGTCTATGTGATTTATTTCTTTTATCCACTTTATTTGTTTTAGTTTTATATAGTTATTTTCAATTTCGATCATTTGAAAGACACTTGAATGCCAAAGTTGTAATAGCTAGGTTATTATTTTATTTTATTCCGTTTCCCCTTTTAGATTGTAGTAGGCTTCCCCAAATATAATAGTTAGGGCTTTATTTGCTTTATTTACCTTATGTGTGTTTTGCATGTCTATGTGCTACGTGTTACTTGTTTTTTTAGGGTCTTGCATCTAGATACCATACTTATGTGTTATGTGCTATATGTGATTTATGTGTTTATTTGCTTTATTAGGCTTTACATGATTTTATTTGATTGTAATGAATGTGTGACGTTACCACACTAGTCCAACGCTAGTCGTGGCCCTCTTTTCCCGTCACCACACTAGTCCAACGCTAGTCATGGCCCCCTTTTCCCGTCACCACACTAGTCCAACGCTAGTCGTGACCCTTCATTCCGATTTTCCACTAGTCTAATGCTAGTAGGAATTCATAGATATGGGCTAGTCCAATACTAGACCCTTCGGGACTTCCCTCGCTAGATCATGTTTGTATGATTACACTACACTTCATGCATATTTTTCCATTTTTTAGGATCTTTACCATTTTCACATAATATTTTCCCCTAATAAAATATCCCTTACCCCTATGTATATATAACATTTAGATTTGCATCTCATTTAGGAAATTAGGGGGTAGATAGTGCATTTTTGCGTGATTAGACTAGGAAAAACCCCTCGAATATGGGATATGGACGAGTTTGGCTTTTCTAGCCTTAACACGCTCGTATTCCCTCTATTAAAGGGAACATTAAAAGTCACGAGTATAAGTCCCCCGCACCCATTATGATACATTCCTTTAGGTCATACACATTTGTATATTATTTTTCTTTACTTTTTCTTTTTTTTGAATCTCATGACTTGCATTATTTGTGATTTCTTCGAAGAGTCTTTATTGGGCGTCACAATTAATGTGATTGGTACCAAATAAACTTTGAAGATACATTTCGACCCCGATACCCTTTTTAGATCTAGGTTTTGCATTCATATAGTACATCCAAATGTGATAAATCTTTAGGTTAAAAATAGGAAAATCTTTGACTAAATCGCGCAACTAGCCTTGGCTAGGTTGAAAAGGTGCCTTGGATGCCTATCCTTGCCTTCCCTTTCTTCAAATGTGACTTCCGAATCTTTTTATTTGATTTTCGTAGACTTGGAGTCGATTAAAAAGGGTTTTTTCTACTTTTTCTTTAAAAATTCATTTTTTAGGTGACTTGGTACACCTTAACTCTATATCAAGTGGCGACTCCATTTTTCATTAAAATCCTTTTTTTAACTATATTTTGGGTCAAATCGTCGCATTTTCAAGTCCCATTTAGACCCATATTTTTTTATTTTTCTTTGTAAATCAAAAATTCACTTTTCAAACCATTTCTTTATTTTCTAAAAAATTCGTTTTCCAATAAAAAATTGAACCAAAAGCCATTTTTTCTAAACACGTCTTTTATTCATTTTCTTTATTTTAAAAAAAAATGGGGCGCGACATTAGCAAAGAATTGATAAAGCATGTCAGGGTAAAAGACATTAGAAATGGTCAAAAGATGAGTCCATTTCTAGAATTCAAACAGTTTAATAACAGGTTCAAGATCAAGCTTACGAAATTCATAGGGAAGGATGAGCCTTTGGGTGATGAACCCTTTTTGAGAGACTAACTCAAATCTGTCTCTGGCTTCATCATCAATGAATTTTGGGAGAGAAGTGGGTTCTTCTACGGGTTGAGAAATAGGAGCCTTTCCAGAACGTCTCCTATTTGAGGTTTGTGTGGTAAATGCCCTAACATTTTGAGCCTCAGTCCTTGTCCTTGGAGACTTCCTGGTGAAGGATTCAGGTGTTTGCTGATTCTCAGTAATGTTTCCTTCATCCTGCTGATCAACAGAGGGATCAGCAGATTGTTTTTTCTTGGATTGGGGAGTGCTCCTCCTCTTTCCAGTTCTCTTTCTTTTACCAGATGACCTTGTGACAGTTTCATCACCCTGGGTAGCCTGCTCTGGTTCCTCATTTCCACCAACAATGTTTCCTTCAGAGTTCTGCCCTTCCATCTGCTTATCAGATGATTTAGCAGTTGGAGTAACCAATTTTCTTTGGGCAGTTTGCTTCACTTTACCACGAGTCACAATTTTCTTTTTAGGTGCCACAGGAGGTGGTTCCACAATCTCAATGTCCTCATCTCTAAGTCTAAAGGACCGTCCGGCACTAGTAGATCCTCCTCTGATTCTAACCATGATACAATGTGGATATTATTTTTAATGCAGAATGTGGTGTATAGAGGAAGAATGCAGTATGAGCCAACTAGAATGCACTAAAATGCCACAAGGAGAGAGTTATGTGAAGTTAGGGTTTCGTATGTAAATTGGGAGTTTTGGGGTAGTTGGGGGTTAGGAGTGATTTTTATGAGTGGTTAATGAGCAATAGAGATGTAATGGAGTTGGTTGAGTCAATTTCTTGGAACTTGGTTTGATGATAGAGGAATTTGAATTTCAAATATGAGAGGAAACTGAAAGGTTGCGTCCAAAACTTATGAAAGAAAATGAACTGAGAAGGATGGGTAACTGCCTTATAGGGCTCAATTTTTTAGAGTCGGACGGCCGAACGAAGTGAAGCGTCCGACACAACCGTCTGAACCAGGATTTTTCTGAAACTGGACGAAGAACACTGTCGAACATCCGTTCCAATTCATCGGACGTCCGATAAAGATTGACTAGAAACAAAACTTAGAATATTTTTTCTGAAACGCCCAGTTTTGTTTTCAAGAACACAAATTGATCCAGTGGAAGAGCTTTTGTGAGGATATCAGCGATCTGCTCTTTAGAACAAACAAACTCAACACGGATTACCCCCTTGGAGACAAGATTGTGAATGAAATGATACTTTATATCAATGTGCTTAGTCCTAGAGTGTTGAATGGGATTTTTTGTTAGATTAATTGCACTAGTGTTGTCACAGTACATTGGTACACATTCATATACCAAACCAAAATCATTCAATGTATTTTTCATCCATAACAATTGAGCACAGCAAGCACCAGCAGCAACATATTCAACTTCAGTAGTGGATAATGAGATAGCATTTTGTTTTTTACTAAACCAAGAGACTAGGCAATTTCCAAGAAAGTTGCATATACCAGTAGTACTTTTTCTATCTATTTTACAACCACCAAAGTCAACATCAGAGAATCCACATAAAGGAAGTTCATGACATTTTAGATACCACAAGCCAAAGTTTAAGGTTCCTTTAAGATATCTCAAAATTCTTTTTACCGCATTCAAATGTGATTCCTTTGGACAGGATTGAAATCGAGCACATAAGCATACAGCAAACATGATGTCAGGCCTACTAGCAGTTAAATAAAGTAAACTTCCAATCATACCTCTATACTTCTTTTCCTCAACTTTTGTACATTCTTCATCTTTGTCAAGTTTGGTAGATGTGCACATAGGTGTTCCAACAGGCTTTGAGTCCTCCATTCCGAATCTTTTCAGCAACTCCTTGGTGTATTTTGTTTGATTTATAAATGTTCCATCTTGGGTTTGAATCACTTAGAGTCCAAGGAAGAAGTTCAATTCTCCCATTATGCTCATTTCAAATTCTTTTTGCATGATCATGGAAAAGTCCTTGCACAAGCTCTCATTAGTAGCACTAAATATGATATCATCCACATATATTTGCACAATTAAAAGATCTCGTGAGTTTCGTTTTGTGAAAAGTGTAGTATCTACAATGCCCCTTTTAAAATCATTTTCAATCAAAAATCCACTCAGACGTTCATACCATGCTCTAGGAGCTTGATTTAATCCGTATAAAACTTTTGAGAGTTTAAAAACATGATCTGGATAAGATTTATTTTCAAAATCAGGAGGTTGGTCAACATAGATTTCTTGATCTATAAAACCATTTAAGAAAGCACTCTTAACATCCATCTGAAATAATTTAAAATTCTTGAAACATGCAAATGCTAGAAACATTCTTATGGACTCCAGCCTAGCTACAGGAGCAAATGACTCATCAAAGTCTATTCCCTCTTCTAGAGTGTATCCCTTAGCCACCAGCCTGGCCTTATTTCTAACAACCTCCCCTTTATCATTCATTTTGTTTCTAAAAATCCACTTTGTGCCAATGATAGGATGATCTTGTGGTCTAGCAACCAGGGTCCAAACCTTGTTTCTTTCAAATTGGATTAACTCTTCTTCCATAGCTAAAATCCAGTGCTCATCATTCAATGCATCAACAATATTTTTAGGTTCAATATGTGATATTAAAGCAAGATTATCTACTAGGTGTCTGGAGGAACGAGTTCTGACCTTTTCAGATGGATCACCAATTATAAGCTCCCTGGGATGGTTATGAACAAATTTCCAGGTCCTTGGAAGATCATTAGGAGTAGTGGTATTTCTGTCATTCACTTCTCCAGCTGGACTGTCCTGAGTATCAGCATCCTTTAAATCAATTTCTGGTGAAGTAGAGTCATGATTATTGATTGCTAGCTTCTTTAGTTCTTCTTGAACACCTGTATCATCATCTTCACCACAACTCATAGAAATGTCACCATTAGATTCATCAAACGTAATGTGCATCGCCCCCTCTATAATCGGTGTTCTACGATTATAAACTCTGAACCCTCTTTTGTTTTCACAATATCCCAAGAAAATTTTCTCATCAGATTTCTTGTCAAACTTTCCAAGATGTTTCTTGATATTCAAAATGAAACATTTACAACCAAATACTTTGAAATAACCAACAACAAGTTTTTTGTCAAACATGAGCTCATAGGAGGTTTTGTTTAAAATTGGTTTTAGGAGAACTCTGTTCATGGTATAACATGCTGTGTTTATAGCTTCAGCCAAAAAATATTTTGGTAAATTGCATTCACTAAGCATAGTTCTAGCAGCCTCTTGGAGAGTTCTATTTTTTCTTTCTACGACTCCATTTTGTTGGGGGACTCTAGCAATAGAGAATTCATGAGTAATACCATTATGATCACAAAATTCTGAAAAATCACAGAACTTGAATTCTGTCCCATTATCACTTCTAATCCTAACAATTTTCAAGCCAAGCAGATTTTGCACTTTAGCAAACAATGAAATAAAATTCTTAAAGGCATCATCTTTATGAGCAAGAAATATCACCCAAGTATATCTAGAGTAATCATCAACAATCACAAAATAATATCTCTTACCACCAAGGCTTGTAGTTTGTGTAGGATCAAACAGGTCAAGGTATCAAAGTTCAAGTGGTGTTGAAGTAGAAACACATTTCTTGGGTTTAAATGATACCTTGACTTGTTTTCCAAATTGGCAAGTATCACATATCCGGTCCTTTTCAAATCTGATTTTTGGGAGACCTCTAACAAGGTCCTTTTTAGAGATTTCCTTTAGCAAATCCATGTTGAAATGACACAATCTTCTATGCCATAACCATGGGTCCTCATCTGCAACTTTGAGACATTTGAGATAGGAGGAATCAATTTTTTCAAGAACAACTATATAGACATCATTAACCCTTTTTCCTTTGAAAACAATGTTGAACTTTGAGTCACATATGAGACATTCAAGCTTTTTGAACAATACAAACAGATTCCTATCACACAGTTGGCTAACACTTAATAAATTGTAGATCAGATTGTCAACGAGAAGAACATTGTGGATAGAGGTTTGACCATTCATACCAACATCACCAATACCAACAGTTTTGGCTTTGTTATCATCTCCAAATGTTACCTTTCCACTTGCTTTTTGCTTGAGTTTAATGAATTGTGATACATCACCAGTCATATACCTTGAACACCCACTATCAATGAACCATTTTGATTCTTTAGCAATGTTATCCTGGTTCACCTACACACAAACCCACAAGATAATACTTGGTACCCTTTACATGTTGGGTCCTTGAGAGTTAGTCTTATGTCTAACTATCCACATGCATCTCATGTCATTCCTCATGTTTTTCTTAACATAACAGTTGCTATTTATGTGACCAAATTGACAACAAAAGTTGCATACTGACATTGGATCAATCAAATGAACAGGTTTAATGAATCTGACTTGCCTTCTCCTGTGGACAGCAAACTCATTTGCATTTTGATTCAGTCTTATTTGATGAGTATTAATATAAGGTTTAGTGTCATTATTTTGAAGACGATTCTGTTTCATATGATGTAACAATTGACATAAATCATCCATCCTTTTTCTTAAGCTACATTGCTCACTTTTGAGTATGTCACAGAAATTTTTCTTTTTGTAAAGTTCAGCAAGCACATCAGTTTCAGTCCTTTTCAGGTTCTCATTTTCATGCTTAAGACACTTGTTTTGTCGAAAAAGATTTGCATTGTCTTGTATTAGAAAGCTAATTTTCTACTTTAGTTCCTTGTTTTTTACATAGGATTCTTTCAAACTGTTATGCATTTTTTCTAGAAAAGAGTTAACATCATCATCAGATTCACTATCACTATCGGTTTGAGAGTTGCATTGTGTTACCTCTTCATCTCCAATGGCCATGAAAGCCACTTGAGCAGATTCCTCTTCTTCTTCAACTTCACCTTCAGAGTTGCAATCATTCCAGGTAATCTGGAAATTGTTGAACTTTGGTTTTCGTTCAACCATGTTCTCCTTCTTTTTCTTCATTGAACACTCATTTGCATAGTGTCCTGGTTGGCCACATTCGAAACACTTATCAGTCAGCTTCTTGTTAAACTCCAGTTTCCCTCTGTTTCTGAAGTCATTAGACTGATTTGGGAAGGAATTGCTGGATCCGCCTTTCCTGAATCTTCTCTTGTTGAGAAATCTTTTGAAGCCTCTTGTGATGAGTGCAATATCACTGTCATCACCTTCCAAATCATTTTCATCCTTGTGGCTGTTTCATCTTCGTCTTGTGAAGCTTTCAGAGCAATACTCTTTCTTACTTTTGTGTCTTCTTCATCCTGCATCTTAGATTTAAGTTTCAGTTCGTAAGAAATTAGAGAGTTAATCAGAGATTCAATTGATAAAGTATTTAGATCCTTGGCTTCCTCAATGGCAGTCACTTTGCTTTCCCAATCCTTTGATAGAGCATTCAGAATTTTTCTGTTCTTCTGACCTAGAGAGTACTCCTTCTCGAGCGTCAATGTTTTCATGAGGTTCCATCTTAAAAGATTCATACATAGTGACCAGAATGGATTTCTTTTGCTCTCTCACATTCTCGCTTCCCTCATGGATCTCTCTAAGTTTATCCCAAATTTCTTTTGCAGATC